TCTTGGTCTCCTCGATGTCGATCCACTTCTCTCGCACTATGTGCTCCCTCATCTCCAGCATCGACACCGGGTCCTTGTACGGATTCGCCGGATCAAAGTCATCTAGCGGCGACTCGTCTATGTCCACAACTCCCTTCCTCCTCCCCATTTTTACACTTCACTCACTCTCTCTCTGTGTCTCTCTCTCAAACCAGAAAAATAATAATTGTGTTCTTCAAGAGAGAGAACAGCTGTTTTGGAAAAAAAGAAAAGACAGAGAACAGCTGTTTTGGAGGGAGGAGAGAACACGTGCAAGTTTTGGGCCTCATTCCAGTGCCACAGTTACACTTACAACTGCTTTTCGCGCAGCCGTTAGATTAGATCCAATGGTGTTCTCATATAATGTTCTCATATAGTTGTTCTCACTAGATCCTGACCCGGTTCTAGGTAGGGTCAATCGCTTCCTAAAGCGAGCTGGGTCTAATTTTGCTTTGGGCTCTAGACGGTGGACCCAGAGACATTTTGGGTACAAAAATGTAGATGAACCATGCCATACTTGCCAAGGCAAGTTGAAGAATTTGTCAGCACAAGCAAGTTTTGTGGATCTCTAGTTTTCGAGATAAATATTAGGAAATTTAAAAGTACTAAAGAATTCATAAATGATAGAATTTAAAATGATGTAAATTAATGTTCTAGAATTTGTAGTTTCTTGTTTGGCTAATGGATTTAAACAAGGAATTTAATATTTTAAACTTCCACTCACTTGGAATTTTAAAAATGACAATTTTTAAATATTTAAAATTGGGATTCGTACCCTCCAAATTCCATTTTTTTTCAAGTGGAATTTCTAAATTTCTATGTTTTTTTTTAACCAAACACAGGAATTGATGTATGTCAATTTATAAATTTTGACTTTTGTCCAAATCTCAAGTTTATTTCCCCCATTCAAACGCACCATAAGAGATTATTCTCTTCTAGATGACGGGTACAAGATCCCCAAGGGTGCCAAGCACATGGTCAACTATCTCTTTTGGTGCTAAGCTCCAAGGGCATTATAAAATAACTTTACTTGTGTGCCCCACACATAGCCATACAGTACGAAAGAAATTCAAGCATAAAAGAAACAAACTTGGAAAATTCAGGCAAAGGCCTCATTGCACAAAACAACAATTGCAACTATAACTTTTAAACTCTCACAAATAAAAGCTACAAGTAGAGACTACAAACACGAAACACTCAAAAAGAGTTGATACAATTATTACAACTCAAAAAACTATAACACACAATAAGAAAATTGTAGGGGCTTTTTCGTTCCGGCAGCTACTGCGGGTCTGGGCTGCCGTAAGGAGAAAACTGAAGAAAATATCCCTCTTGTGTCTGAGTTCAAAGATTAGACCCCAAAATATTTCGAAAGGGTTGTAAAGCCTAAGGAAACACCTTTGTTACCTTCACCAATGAAAATAATGGCTGCTTACAGATAAATTCTTGGCTTGGCATGAGAAGCTTGTGGCATGGGAGCAAAATCGACATGAGTTTAGTACCGAAGAGAAAATTATGCGTACTTGGGGGAAAAAAGGAGTGTTAAGGTAAGAAAGGGAAGGTTTGCAAGAAGATTTGGCTGAGAAAGGAGGGAGAGAAAGGGATGGGTGGCTTGATTGTTTCTTCCGGCAGCTTGACAGAGACTCTATCAAGTGTTGGAACAATCTGCCAGAAGAAGAAAAATGGGGGAGATGGGCAAGCAAAGCACGAAATTACTGAGTTTTGCAGGTGAGAGAGGAAGCTTGCTCTCCATATGTGTTTTGTGATGATGGGTAGGAAATGCCTCTTTTTATAGGCGCTGGAAGCTACCATTTTCCAAGAAACTCTAATGGTTTCTATCCAATTTGGCCAAGTCTTTCCCTTCCTTTCTCCCCTCATCCCTTCAATCATCCTTTTTTGGTGAAACCCACTCTACCCAATCCCACAAAATCAGGGATTTTTGGGAGCTCAAGGCCCTTTCCCGCAGCTGCCTCAGAACTCCCATTTTCAGATATCTCCTTTTCTCCCTTTCTTTTCCTCCTTCGTGATCAGATCTGATGAAGGAAAGAGCTTGGTATACATGTTGGTTCGAAGGGTGGCTCCTTGCGTGCCAATATCTTTTAGTTCCTTGGATGTTTTGCTTGAAAACTTGTTCCTTCCCTCCCAATAGCTTTGTATAATGGACCTTCAGACTTCCCCTTCGTGGCTTCTGTGTTTTCAGCAAGGGGCTGAGGCTTTTGCTGCTTCTCATTTCTAATTGTATGGGCCTTCTAAGATAATGGGTTGGTTTGTGAAAATAAATGGGCTAACCTCAACAAGTGTTGGCCAAATTTTTGTTGAGGTGTTGGGCTAATTTAGTTAAGCTAATGGGCTATTTCGGTTGGGCTTTTTGGTTGAGATATTTTCTCTTTGTGCTCACCCACATGTTTGGGCCTAAGAAATGGGCCTGAGTTCCGAGGCTCCCAAGCAACCCGGGACTTCCATTTCTTGGCCCATCAATGGGCCTCATGTCGATTTATTACCATCCATACCACAACCCACTCAAGCAAGCCCTGGCATTTGAGTGGCTTGGGCCCACTTAAGCTTGTAGCGTGGCGTGTTGCTTATTTGCTTGGCGTGGCATGTGTGTAAGTGCATATGATGAACTTTTACGTGCCCAAATCGTGTTTCTTCTCGGTAAGGTATCGCATTGGGCCGAGAATTTATTTGGGCCGAACCGTGGATTTTTTGGGCCTCAACAAAAATAAAAGTCAATATGCCACCATCTTGTCCCCAAGACAACTAAGGTTGAGATGGGCAAGTAGCATAGGGGTGGGAAAAGGAGGAGGGGTGGGGGAAATATAGGCCACGGACCCCGAAGGGGGTGTCGACTAAAACTTTTCTCACCTTAGGGTTTTCTCATCTAGAATTAAACTTTAATTAGTTTTGACACAGTGATACATTAATTTACTATTATGAATCAAACAATAATAATATCCTTCATTTAGTGATGAAATGTACTTAAATAAAATCATACTTGTTGTGATTGTTCAATTTGAAAACATAAGGTTTATATTTTAGTTTAACTCAAATTAGTGAAAGACTAACACTTATTAGATTTATGCCAACAATTAGGATCATCAATTGACATTCATTGGATCAATTCAAAACGAATTCAAGTGGACATGGAACATTGAAGGAAAATCGGTCTTTTCAATCCTAATTTCTCCTAAATTTATAAATTTTACTAACTAACTTCTCCTAAATCGGTCTCTAAAAATTGAAAAATGCTAACCAGTCAAGCATGGTGCATGTGATGATTTTCAACTTACATACGATGAATTCCCACTAAAGAAATATTGTAAAGAACATTACTCAAAAAGATTGAAACTGGAGTGGAACTAGGGTAAGGCGATTTTGATGCCAAATAACTTTTTTTTTGGGGCCAAAGTTGCCAAATAAATTGGCTCTCCTATTATATATAATATACAGAAATTCTCCTATGCGGACATTCGGACGTTCTTATCGTGCGACGCTATGTATTTTGTACTATCCCTTCCTGCTTTCTTAACTGTTTACAATGACATTCGCACGATAATAACGTGCAGACATCTAAATAAGAGAATAACTATATATATATATATGTAATTATACAATTTATGTTTGGGGAGAGGTGGATAAAGGAGAATTGAAGACAACATCGAATCCTCACACCATTGAAAATGACCATTATTTTTTGTTTTTGTTTTTTTCTTCGACAATAGGTATTTTTGAGTCAATACTATGTTTTAGCAAGGAAATTAGAAGTAGTTGTAGTGTTTACCACCACACCACGACCTTAGCATTTGTAATATAAATTTCTGTACATAAAAAAGAATTTGTTTTTTATAAGTAATAAAACAAAAATAGAAAATGGAACTAACAACCAACCGTGATTTGTTCAGAAATTGAAATTGGAAAGTAGCTGGTCTGAAGCAAAAAGTCAAGTCCAAAAGTCAACGTGTCAGGGTCATTGGCGGTAAAGATGAATGACAATTTTGCTAAAAGTATAATTGTCATGTGGTTGTCGCTCCCCAAAATGGGTGATTTTGAAAACAAATGTTGTAACAAAGCAGAGGCAATTCTGGTAGTTTTGTTTGCCCTCACTGGCTTCTCACTGTACGCCTGGAAACCAATCCTTCATTTTCAGTCCTACCTACCTAAGCGCTAAACTAAACTAACCTAACCTCTCTCTTCTTAACTAATTTCTGTCCACCTTATTTATTAATTTGGGTCTTCCTATCTCCCTAAACCTCAATCCTTCATTCCGATTCTCAATCCGGCAACTTTCATATTTATAAATATAGATGATCAAAGGTGGATAGGTTGAGGCAGTGGTTTGTGAACCCCAGCTCAATCGATCGATGAGCATGGAGACATCAGAAATAGGCATAACTACTGGTTGTAAGAAGTTACCCTTGACTACTACATTCATCCAAACCGACACAAATACCTTTCGAGAAGTAGTGCAGCGTTTAACAGGCAGCAGCAGCCCGCCATCTGATCCTGCACAACTCAAGAGAACGAGCACAGGCACAATATCGAGCACCATCATTCCTAATAATATTACTAATAGTATTGGTAGGAAGACCAAGACATGGTCGTCGATGCCGATATGCAAACTTCATGAAAGAAGGCAGTACATGAAGATGAGGCCCAAGCTTGAGATAGTGAAACCACCCACCATGACCTTTCATTCCAAGCCACCAAGTTCATCAAGTTCAAGCCCCTCAGTACCCAGCCCTTGTACAATATTCTCAAAGCTGTCTACACTACAGCTGGAACAAGCTGAAGAAAACAAATCAACGAATACTCAAGAAGAAAAAGAGAGCGCCATTCAAGAGAGGAGATTTTACTTGCATCCATCACCCTGCGGGGGAAGGCCACCTGAACTCCTTACCTTGTTCCCTCTTGCATCTCCCAAATCAAGTCAAAAGGAATGATCATTTCCAACAAAAATACTTAGCCAAATGTCATCCTCTATGTCATTTCAAAACCCGTAGTATAAATTAGCATTGCATATTCAATTACCAGCACAAATCAAATTATCTGAAATTTCAAGAATTTCAGCAAAGCAAGCTCTAAGCATTAAAATTCATCACCACGACAGCCAAGATTGTCATATCCCTGCATGGAAATTTTATTCGGATAATGACAGATGAACCCTGAACTAATGACTAACCAAAATCTAATCTTTTGAAACTTTATTCGGATAAGTCTGCTGAAGAATGCATTTCAATAATACAGCTTGATTTAGGCTCTGACCTGCCTTCCAAATTTTGAAATCTGGAGGAAAGTATTCAGCATCGCTCCATGACTTTAAGGAATCAATTGAAAAGGGACCCTGTATGTTTCCCTGGGGATCTAAATAATGCCATATCAAGCTCCCCAGCTGGTCACCAGGAATCTCCTTTACGTCATATCTTTCTTCATTTTCCTCATCATTACTTAAATCAATTACCTGAGATGTCATTACCAGCTTATCCACCAGTTTCTGAAATCCCTTAGTGTCGATAATTCCATGCTTTTTCTCACCATTGCTACTGTTTACGGACTCTGTCGGTTGTTCCCGCCATTCTTGCCAAGAAGCATCATGATTGCTTGCTGCTGAAAAATAATGAACATAAATATCATTTTTCATTTTTTTGAAAGAGTACTGTTTCCTTATATCTACCAATAATAATAACAACAACAACAACAACAACAACAACAACAATATTAATAATGATAATAATAAAATGTAATGACAAAAATAGCTAATGTGGGATTTCTTTATATTCTCAACAGGCCACCCTCACATAACGACATGAATATTTGGGAGACGTGGGGCACGTCTAGGCAACTTTGGCCTGACATGTGGATGAATTGCCCGCTTTATACCATGTTAAACTTGGAGCATCAAACCCAAGACCAATTGGCCATGAGTGAGGCCCAAAATTTTATTGATGCAAAGGTTTAGCATACCTGACGTGAAATCATCATATTCTTAAAAACGCACCTTCAGAATCTACGCCACCTGAGGTCCGAGTTAATAGAGCTTCTTCTGCTGGTACATCACAAGTAGGAGCTGGCATATCACAAATAGGAGCTTCTGAAGCAACCCTTTGGATATCTGTTGGTGAACTGTGGTTCCCTTCTTGTACTTCATCTGGAGCATCCTTCGGTGCACCTTCTAGCTCTATTTCATCTGCAATGACTTTCGGAACCTCACGCAACAATCTTGCCTGTTCATCTGGAGTCTGAAGCAATTGCCTTCTCTCCAAGTACTCAAACAGCGTAAATTATCAACCAAGTTAAGGATCCAATGAGCAATTTCTTTCACTTCTGTTATAAAATATGAATCATATTGCCTCATTGTGAGCTAAAAGTTGACTGGGCAATACTTCTGCAAATTAGGCAACATATTAAAGCATGGCATATAAACTGTAGATATTTTGAAAGGATATTCTCGACGCCATCCCTTTTCATTGGCTCGATCAATTAGTTTCTGTAACAAAGCAAGTTCTCTCACGAGCCCCTGAAATAAATCCCCCACATGATGGAGTAAACTGTAGATATTTTGAAAGGATATTCTCGACGCCATCCCTTTTCATTGGCTCGATCAATTAGTTTCTGTAACAAAGCAAGTTCTCTCACGAGCCACTGAAATAAATCCACCACATGATGGAGAAAATGTCACACAATCAACCTCCACTTACATCACAGGCATCAGAGAAAGTCCAAAGTTTAGGTGAGAAGTGGTAGCCCCACAAGGGAGATGCCAATATAAATAAATAAAAGTTAATCAAATTTCTGTTTAGAATTTAGTCCCTGATGATAAGGAGTCAGCAGAATTGCAAAATATGGTTATAGAGCTAACATATGCAGAATATGCTATATGTTTGTAGAGGGAAAAGAAGGATATCCCTTGGATCATGATTTATTTTGGACATTACATATACACAACACCTATAGGTTATGTCGAGAAAATAAGGAAAGAATGAGATTCCTTAATCCTAACCCTACAAAGTGTTTAAATAGAATACAACTCTCATCACAAATATGAAACTAAATAACAACCAAATCACTTAATTCATAAAACTAGACCGCCCCCTTAAACAAACCAGGCAAACAAACATTCTGACCTACTTTGAATCATATTTATCACAAACCGGACCCTCTCGCATAAGTCAACCACCTCCCCACGCCTAAGATCATCAAATGTCCTCCTATTTCTCTTTTTCCAAACTACGCAACAAATAGCCGTCACATCACACCTCCCAAAGACCACAACCCTCTTGCCCCCAAAAAAATTAAGCTTCCACATAACAATGTATTACATGAAGCAGGAGTAACCCAGCTAAAATTAAACACCCTTAGCCACAATGACAGTGCAACTAATGACTACGCAAATGATGCATGCCTTCAGCACCACAACTAAACACAGCACACAAACAGGGAGAACGACAAAAAGACCTTCTCCTTGGAGCCATATCACAAAGGTTCATTCTCACATGAGCAGTTATCCAAGGTGACACCCGTACCATAGGTGATCCTTTACGTACGATAAACTTTTATTCTCCAACACTACCCCTCAAGCAACAGCAAATATGTAAAAAACATTTTTCCATGGTATGCATAATATCGATAACCATCTCTTCCTTTTGGGTTCATTACACATGAATAATATAAAAACTTAGCCCATATTTGAAAAAATACACAAACTTGCAAAACACTCTGACAGAGATTCTTCTGTTGACATGAAAATTTATCTGTAGTCGAATACTTACATGCTTTGTTATATCCTCGTGCAACATCTGGACCTTTTGTTGAAGCTCCACCTGTCAAAAGTTTAACAAACAGATTAAAAAGATGAAGGGTAAAATAATTGAACATATGTAGCTGACCATAAAGAGAAAAGAAAAAGACTAATCTGCACATAGATCTGATAATCATTAGCATGGCAAAGAGAATAAAAACTCCACACCAAAGACAACCAAAATTACAAGGTTCAACAAGTTGACTATGTTCATAGAGGAGAGAATCCACAAATAAGCAGTAATAATTATAAAGGTGTTAACCTCTTTAACATTTATCTGAAAAGTTTTCCATGAAGGAAGCCCCCACATGGGGTAGCTGAGTAAGAGGCTCACCCGTTACCTCTGCCCTCTAGAGAGGAAGGCCCTAGGGCAGTATAAATTAGTATCCCTTAATATATTGAACATAAGACAACACATGATGGCTTTCACTCAGTAAGTATTATATCAAGCAATGAATTCCGTTGCTTCACAGTACCCACTTGCACCCTTTTGGTGGACTACTACCAAGTCCAAGGTAATTCTTGAGTATATTTGTGAGGATTAGCTTAGCAAACATAGCAGTAAATTTGTTATCTGTCTAGTTTTATTTTGGTTAGTTGGGGAGGCGGGCATCTATTGGTTTCTGTTGTTGTGTTCCTGGTGGATTTCTTGTCCATATTATTTTGTAATTTCTTTTTGCTCTAACAAAATTGTTGTTTCCTATTATATCTAATTACCAATGAAATGGTTGGCCAAGCAAATAACCTTCTTCCCATTTTGATAGGTTAATAAACATTAGTATAAGAATGCCCAGCGACCATTACCTGAGTTGTATACAAGAGGACAAAGGTATATAGTCAAAAACAGAATCCAACAAAGTGAGAAAATAATAGGTATCCTAATTCACCACTCAAACAACCACCTCAACATAATGGACATCACTTCCACAATGGAATGTTCTACCCTTCAAAATCTCTTACGATCCTTTCTAGTCACAAGGACCAGAAGGGCACAACTTATCCAGCAAAAACTCTGTTGTAGAAAATACTAAACATTAGACAATCTCCAACATACAGAACTTTAGCAAAAGCACCTACTATTAAGATTCTCAATCAGAGTTTGCATCCATCTAAATTGCAACGTCACCTAAAACCAAAAGTTATCCAATTTTAACGTGCTTAAAAGGTATTCCAAAATAACTACCTCAACCGCATTCAATACTTCTTTCCAAACTTTTACATGTACTGGCTACCAAGGGTAATTCTAAGTAGACAAGAGATAAACAAGACCAGTGCACGCCACTAGATACATGAGAAATTCAACCACACCAATATACGGAACCAAAGGCATGCTGCCCAACTCATTGTCTGAATTTGGGAATATCTTTGGTGAGAATTTAGAAGAAGAAAATCCAGAATAAAAGTACATTTAACCATAACTGGTTTCCATAATATTATGCAACTAACACCCATTCAACCAGGGCATACGCGTTTGGGCATTGAAAGACGGTAATCATGCGGCACTAAACCATTTATTTTGAAACCTTAAACAGACTAAGTCCTTGCTTTCACCTCAAGACCTCTGTTGCGTAGGAAAAAGCTTCTTGATGGTTAGTTAATAAACATGTGAAAGGAAGCAAAGTTCCATAAGTTTCCCGTATGACATGGTAACATTATTTTTTCTATGTTTCCAATATACTACCTACTTTTGGCATAGGAAACATGATTTGTATTGAAGCCAAAAAAGAAGAGAAATTTTACAGGGACAAGATATTAGAAGTTACCACTGTAAGACTCTTGAGCAACCCATCTTTTATTCTTTGACACAAATCCTCACATTCTTCCTGCAAAGCAACCGGCAGAAATGGTTAGGCAAGATAAATAAAACATGCACAATTATATTAACGAATGCCAGAACCAGATGCATACTTAAAAGAAGGAATTACTGACTGAAGGCTTTTGAGGAATTTCACAAGAACAGGGTAAGAAATGCACCAACAAATGAAACATACATTAACCTCATTTTAAACAGGGAAGATTCAGCGTGTTTGACATTAGAACAATAAGCTTGGTATCAAGTATTGTATTATAGGATATATCATTTAAGGGAGGTCTTGGGCGACACAGTGTTAATTTAATCAGCACAAAGGGTTTTTTTGTAAAAGGGATGCAAATTTTCAAGATCGATTTTTCAAAAGGCTAGGGTTTTAAGACAATGTGGAGCGGAGGTGGGGTTTTATTGCGGAGAAGAAAAATTTGTTTGGCAGGCAGCATATTCATCTGAGATTATTAAAACAACCCTAATTTAGAATTGTTCCCAAAAATAAACACCAACTGGCATTTGATGAACTAGATAGCAGCAACAGGAGTGATCCATTAAGTAGATTGATTAGATTTTGGGTTTTACCGGGGAGAAGTTATCATCGGACAGCTCGGAAATTTGGACTTGTTTTGGGAGGGCGAGGCCGGAAAGCTGAAGAAGAACTCCTCTGTTGCTGCTGCTGCTGACATTATCATCATGAACAAGACCTGTAACTTGGAGAAGCTGGTGAGAGTTCGTCTGCGAGATGTCATTCGGGTCGGCCTTGATTCTGACAAGGCTTCCCACAACTTTAGCCTCCTCAAACAACGCTTGATTTTGTGGCTGCTGCTGCTCCTGCTGATTGTGAAGAAGAAGAAGATGCTCCACCAAAGACCTCCGCAAATACACCAGCTTTATGTTCTCGGGGATGACGGCAGCAAAACAGCTTTTGCTTTTTGGAGGACAAGCAGAATCGAATCTCTTGGGGTTTTTCTGCTTCCGCTGTCGAGATTGCGATTGAGAAATGTTGTCGTCTGCTGAGCCTAAGAAGTAATTGGAAAAGGGGTTTTCGTCGTCATCATCGTTTTCGCCGTCGTCGGTTGAGTCGTCTTGTTGATTTTCGGCGAAATGTTGGTGGAGCAAGTCGTAGATTTTGACTCGGCCAATGGTTTTGCGGCCGAAGAGCGAGTGGAGGGTGTCGTCGCAGACGATTCTCTTCTTCTTGGTGGGGTGCTGAAGCTTGTGTTGATTGACGTAGTCGGCGATGATGGAGGCGACGTCGTATTGCGAGATTGGGTTGCTGGTGTCTCTGCCAATCGATTCCAGAAACTCAAAGAGCCGCCTGGAGCCCCACCCGGTAAACTCCACTTGTTTCTTGGACCGGACCCGTTTGCTTTGTCTGAACGGAGTCGAATTCGGATCCGGGTTCGGAGTCGGATCCACCATCCAACTGAAAGAACAATCCATCAATCAAATCAAAACCCACCCTTCTTCTTCTTGTACCTTCAGCAAAAACGCTCACAGACTCACTCGCTCACTCTCACAGAGTCAAGAAGAAACTGAACAATGATGACGTAGGCCAATTAAACGCTTTTACGCTTATTCAGGCACACCTGGCTGCCCACCTCAGCAACAAATCGCCACGTCTCTTCTTTTCACCTCCTCTTCAATTAAATTAAATAAATAAATTTGAATTTCACCCACTTGCCCAAACCAAACTAGAATTTCCGAAGAGCACTTTCTTCTTTTCTTTCCTTCTTTCTTTGTTTCTACAATCAATTTGGTAACTATTTGGTACAAGTGGAATCAATCCAATTGGATTTTTCCATTCAGCTGCATGCAACCGCCTTCCTTAAAAGACCCACCTTTTTTCGGTTTTTTCCTTCCTTTATGGGATTTTTCCGACAATGTAATTTTTTTTTTTTTTTTTTTTAATGTGAAAGGAGAATTACAAATTAAAATCTCGCGAGGATGCAGGTCAAAAGAGGTCAAAAAAGAAAGCAGAGTAACAGAATGAGGGAATGTGGTTTCGATTTGAATGGGGGAAATGTAAATTTGATTTTTTTTTTCTTTTATTAATTTTTGTTTTGTTTTAAGTTTTTTTCCCAAAAAAATTGACTTAAATTTTGAGTTAATCGTTTTATTAGTCCCTGAACTTTGACCCAATTTGCATTTGAGCACCTCAATTTCCAAAATGATTCCAAAATGGTTCCCGTGGTCCTTTAACTTTAGTTTTGTATGGACAACTAGTCCCACCATTACTTTTGTCAATTTTTTTGTTATATTTAGAGGTAGATGGGGAGATTGAGTCAATTAGGGATTTCAATTAGAATCAAATCCTTATTTGATGATAATATGTTCCAATTTTGGTCTAAATAATCTCCAAATAAATGGGCCCAATTATTGACCTAGGAGATATTCTTCTTGTCCGCGTGGCACCTTGTCAATTAGGCATTAGTTGACATGTATTCCAAGTGTCGTTCTATTGAGTTTGAGTATGCTATCATGGTTTTCAAAGAGAGATGTAATTCTGTGGAACTCCGTGATTTTGGGATGCTGTCACAACTATAGGGGGAGAGAAGTACTTAAATCGTTTGGTTTGATGGAGGATGAAGGTATTAAGCCAGACCATGTAACATTTCAAGGTGTTTAGGCAGATTTGCAGTAGGGTAGTTTCTCTATGCTATACAGCTCCTGAATCTCTTCTTGATGGGGTCGAATAATATGAAAATGTTATTCTGCCGTTAGCATAGGGACCTCCCTTTTATAGGTATAGTTTAAGAATCCTCCTCATCATGGATTACTTAAACTCCTTTAACCATAAGGCTTAGGTATCTCAATCCATTTAGAGATAGGAAACCTTAAGCACTTGTATTTATCTGAAACAGTCATATATCAAGCCTTAAACTTAATCGATCCATGTAATCCTAATTGACATTGAACTAGTTATCATTAAGTGATTAGAAGACCATCTTTAGAGTTTGTATTAGAATGCAAATCTTACAGAGTTTGCCCAGGAATTCAATTTGCCATAGCTGTCCAAGAGATTGCTTTGGCAAATTTAGTGCACAAGTTGGACTGGGCGCTGCCCGATGGCGGAAGAGGGGAGGACTTAGACATGACTGAATCCATTGGAGCAAGCGTTCGCAGAGTATGTCCTCTTAAAGTTGTTGCTATTCCATATTCGGGCTAATATAGTGTTGGTGTATCCAAATTCAACCTCGTTTATTCACAGCAAATAACAAATTATAATATCTTCCACCATTATTTGGAAATAAAAATTTGAAATAATGGTTAGGTTTTATGTTGTCATTAATATAAATATATTAGTTTTTATTGCTAAAATATGAATATGGTTTGAATACTTTAGGTTAATTGTATTCTTCTGCATAAGGAGATATATAGGAGTTTACAAGGGTGCTTTACAACGAAATATATACAGTAATTAATTAGAAGAATATTTCCTAATTATACCAAGTTTGTCAACTATATGAAAACAATAAAGTAAATCATCTAATTAACTTAGGAAATAAATCTTCTTGATTTCACTACTACAAAAAAGGCAAAAGACGACGGGAATTCACCGTCGTGAATTTGGTTTTCAAACCGTCGTAAAATCGATCG